CTCCTTTGATATGCTGGATGTGACGACTACCAGTATTTTTTTAAATGCAAGTTTTAGGGTGTGTCTCCAGCCACAAGGCATTGCAAAATAATATAGGAGTAGCTATTCTGCATGAGCTCCTTTTGCATAGGCACATTTATTCTGTGTTATGAGAGCACTTTTTTTTTTTTTTTTTTTTTTTCCCTCTCTTTAGCTTTATCCATGTCACTCTTAGCCTGAAATAAGAGGGTTTACACAGAAAGCTAATGTGGAATATCAGTTATTTCCTCTGTGCATGCAAACCTTCTATATTCAGAGATGCTATAAGCGGCCTGCATGGAAATTTAGAAGCCTGAATTAGCAATGGATTGAATGATTGATTCCCATTATTAAACACAAGTTTTACAGGTAGCAGTAGCCTAATTTTGTGACAAGAAGGTAGCTCATTAAAATTGTCTCTAAAACAAACAAACAAACAAAAAAATCCAATATTACCAGTGTAGTAAAACCAAAGACTGGGAAAGATTTTCTAAATGGTCAAGTGGCTGAAACTATCTAAAAATTCTGAAATCAGGACAATTTTTATAACTAATTTTGATGAGAGAATAATTACTTGAAACTAGTTTCAAAACCACTAGTAATGAGAAGTTGTACTTCCCAAAGGTACAGCTTGGAGGCTGTGGCATTTGAGGGACACCTTGCTAGTTGTGCAGATTTCCTTTCTGGCTGGTTGTCAGGAGGGATTTGCACCGGTCTCCTCTTTCTCTTTTCAGTGCAGTGAGACTACTGGAGAGGTGGGAAGGGTATTCTGTTATGAATCTCCTATTTATGTTCTCTACATTTGTCTGTTAAGTATTGACTGACAATTAATATACAGGTTGCTGATTAGAAAACAGTTTCTAAGCAAAGTTACTGTTAATATCTATTTATGGCATAATGAAAAGTAACGCTAGAAGTCAAAAGACCTAGCACCAAGTACACTCCAATGTGACAATAAGGACACTTTCCAGAAAAAAAAAAAAAAAAAAAAAAGATTGGGTTCGTCACTGTAGGAAGAAGCACGAATTGAAGCCTGCCTCATGCATTCAGAGCTACTACTCTAGCTACCAGTTTTTGAATGAGTTGACAGCATTACATATTGTAGCCATTCCTATTATTTTGTTGTATGACAAATGCCAGATATGTGTCATTTCATCCTGATCTAATGGGACATTCTGAGAGAGAAAGGGAAGAGAGTATTTTCAACAAAACCAAAGGTAAATTTATTTCTGGGCTTTTTGTGGATACTCAGGTAGAACATGGCAAGGTTTGTAGAAAGAGAAATAAATTTAAGATATAGATTAATGTTTGGTGGCATTTGTTTGGGGTTTTTTTAATATTACACATTCTTGTGATACCAGTGGATTCTGGGTAGTGCATGATGTCTGAAGCTTGGATAATAGAGAAATCAAAGATTAACATCAGCATTTGTCAAAGGCTCCTATCTACAATGAACTTTTGTCTTCTTAACATATATAGGTGAAGTGTTTCAGATTTTTCTGGTGCATTCTACTGATTGAATGGGATGAACCAGCCCATCTTATGTTTTGAATGGTAGCTTTCATGCCTCTCCCTGCTACTTCATTTAACATTGATTCTGAACTCCTTTCCATGTGTGAAGATTTTTGCTTGCGGGAAACAGATAGTAAAAAACAAAGAGGCAAAGGATACAGAAAGAAACAATTTTCTCATTTTTTCTATACTGTTCTTTCGTTCCAATCTGAAGTTTTTTTCTTGACTCGGTTAAATTATTTTCTCCTCTCCTGCTTCCTTGAAGAACTGAAAAGATTAGAGATAGGTAAGAATAACTTAAAGGTAATGATCAAGAAGAGAAAGTGTCCAGCAAGGTGAAGTATCTGTTTAGATTTCTATATATGTTGAGTAGTTCCCAGTAGCAAAGGATTCTGTATGGAACGTAAGAAGGAACCTCTCTTGGAAGATGTCATGGTTTGAGTTCAGAAAGCAATTGAGCACCATGCAGCTGCTCACTTCCCCCTTCCCCCAACCACTGAGAAGGAGAAAATAAGCCAAAGCTTGGGATTCAAGATAGGACAGGGAGGGACAAATCACCCATTATGGCCATGGGCAAAAGGCAGAATCGTTAGGGGAAGAGAAACAGAACATAGCTTTATTACAGACTTTAACAACAACACTTAACAGACAGAGTAGGGCAGTGAGAAGCATTGCCACATCTTGCAAACACTTCCCCCCACACTTCTTCCCTGGCTCAGGTCTGCTCCTGATATCTCTACCTCCTCCCCAAGCAGTGCAGGGGGGCTGGGGATGGGGGGGTGCAGTCAGTGCTGCCGCTTCTTCCATCTTCAGCTGGGGGGGGTATGGGGGGAGAACTTCTTCCCCCTGCTCCAGCGTGGCCCCCTCTCACAGGAGACAGTCCTTCACAACTTTTCTCTGACTAGACTCCCTCCCATGGGCTGCAGCCCTTCCCGAGCTGCTCTGGCGTGGGACACCCCCGCATGCTGCAATCCTCCCAGCGCTGAACTACAACAGCGGGGGCTGCTTCTTCCCACAGGGTCCTGGCTGACTTTAGGCTCAGACATCTTAAATGGCCGTATGAGGGCCCCCAGAGGCCATAAATCAATGTCTGCTCCACCATAGACCTCCATGGGTGGCAGGGGGGGCCGCCCTGCCGTCTCCCCACAGGATACAGGGGGGTCTCTGCTCTGGCACACCTCCCCCCTCCTTTCTTCCTCTGTTCCTCCACTGACCTTGGTATTCACACAGATGTTGCAACTCCTCCTCACAAGTCCCGCTTCTCTTCCCAGGTCCCTTCTTAAATATGTTATCACAGAGGCACAGCTGATTGGCTCAGCCTTGGTGCAGAGCTGGGTCCAACTTGGAGCCGGGGGAACTTTCAAGAAGCTTCTCACAGGGGCCACTGCTATAGCCCCCTCCCCTGCTACCAAAAGACTCCACCACTCACTCAAACCTGGGACAGAAGATGATCATTCAAAGCACTTAGATGTCCCCACTAATTGCAAAGGCTCTCATTCATACTCTGATCTGTAGGCCTTTTTCTCTCCTTTCACTGCAGAAAGACCTTACTAGGATTTAGTTCTGGTCTCGTTCATGGAAAAGAAACCTTTGTTCTTCATAGTTATAGATCCATGGTCGGCTTCTCTTCCTGCTTTTTCCCACCCTGTCTCTCAACTTTCCTTTCTGGTCTCTTCCTTTGTTTCTCATATTTAATGTTATTTTTGTCTAGCATACTTGGTTTCCTGATAAAATTAGACAAATGTCATCCTTGTGTGGTAATTTCTGAATAGTAGCTTCTGAAGGTCTAATTAGTTTCAAATAAACTTGACAGTGGGACACAAGTCTCAAAGACAGTCAAGTTTTTATAACCTTCCTGGTAAGGCATCAGTTAGAGGAATGAGGCCCAAATTAGCACTTCCTTGATTTGCAGGAACTCAGCTTTCATCTTCTCCAGCTGTGCAAGCATCACTGTAGAGAGCTCTCCTGCCCATACAGTGTGAGCCATGAAAATCAGTTTTAATGGCTTGGGTCCACATCCTTTGTTTTGACGCTTTCTTCTAGTAGACGGAAACTAGTGGAGATTCACCCTGGTCACAAAAATCTCATATAAATCTTATGCCCTTCCTTTCCTAGTAACTGGTGGCATATCTTTAGCCACCTAACTTACTGACTTCATCTTGCAGACATTTCAGTGTGATAAGTTCTCAAGAGATAAAGCACTGCTTTAGTAGTCTGTCCCAAACAACCCTGTGATAACTATGACAGTTGCTTAAATAGAAGAGCGTAAACAATACGTCCCATTTCTTGCTTTTTTTAATAAGCTGGTTTTGTTCCCCCATTGCTTTTGTGCTCTTGTGTGCTGTGCTTCATACTTCTCTGCTCTTCAACTGCTTCCTGCTTCTTATTCCGGCATGCATGCTTTCCTGATACATCAAGTACCCTCTTTCACTGTCCTCATTATCCAGATATGTACATATTATAAGTACGCTGCCTGTCTTACTCGCTGCTTGTGATGGTTCATTTTACTGGAGGCAGCAGTGCTAATTATCTCCTTTTTCAAGAATAGTGGATCATAGTAATAGAGGGAAGGTTAGGACCTGAGACCGGGCAGCTGGCTCAAGTGTTGGGGAGGTGAGACAAGAGCCACACAGCAAATTAGCTGGGATGCACTGATAAGAATTGCTAATGTTCCCTGTCCTCGGTGCCTCTGAAAAGTTGCTAAGGGTATGTTGCACGGCACTCGTGCCGAGTTCTGTATTGAAGCAGAAGCAGCAGAACGTGGAACTAGTTTTCGTATAGCCAAGAGAGATGCTTACAAACACACTGACTAAAAGTAAGATCGTAAAAGGCCAAGGAATTGCTGAATTTGTTTTGTATTTTAGACCAGTTTTAAGCAGCTTGTGTTCTTATTTTCTCCATTAGCACGTGCATAGTATATGAAGAATAGCTATATATAAAATATGTGTATAATGCATATGTAATTTATACATCTATATAGACACATGTATATATGTATCTAAATTGCAAATTTTGACCTGAGATTTCCCCTTATGTATTTTGAGGCTGAGGATAGGATACACTAGGTATCCAAAGGAGTTTCTTTTGAGTTTCGCCCCCCCCCCCCCCCCCCGCCCTTCTTGCATAGTTGGTCCTATTCCCTCTTTACACGTGGAATTGAGAACTTCTGAGATCCGCTCTGCCAAATCTCGTAGTACGGCAGACGGCCCCGCAGGTACCGCGGTCCCGACTCCTGGCTCTGCCCTGGCACCCAGGCCTCCCCTCCGCGGGCAGCAGCCCCCCGCCAGGCGCTGGGGGGGGGGCGCGGCCGCCACCGCCCCTGCGGGCCGGGGCGCCGCTTCGCCCCTCGCCTGTCGCGGCTGCCGGAGGTTTCTATCTGTTGTCGGGCGGGCGGCTGAGCCGGGGGCGGCCTGCTTCCCGCCGGCCCGGCCCGGCCCGGCACTGAGGGGCCCGCCTTCTGTCGCCCGCAGGCTGCTGGCGGTGTGGGACGCACCGGGGGAAAGGCTGACGGCGGCGCCAGCGGGCCCGAGGCGGCCCGGGCGTGCGGGAGCGTGCCCGGCGCTAGGACCCAGCAGGACGAGAGTCGGCACTCGGGGCCAGATTACAAATTCGCCGTGACTCAGTCTGCTCGGCGCAGAGCTCAGCGGGCGGCGGCGGGAGCAGGTCGGTGCGGCCCGGGCGAGCGGGCGGAGCGCGGCGCGGCGCGGCGTGGCGTGGCGTGGGGAGGGGAGGGGAGGGGAGGGGGGTGGGGGGCGCGCTGCGGGGGCGAGAGCCGGGGCGGGCCGGGCTCTGCGGTTCCCCCTCCCCCGCTCCCTCCGGCCTTCCTTCCTCTCCGCTCTCCCCCGGCCTGGGCCCTGCCGCGCCGCTAACTGCGGGCGCCTGTTGTCTGGTGTTTTCCAGAGAGCCAAGATGGAGTACGAGTGGAAACCCGACGAGCAGGGGCTGCAGCAGATCCTGCAGCTGCTGAAGGAGTCGCAGTCCCCGGACACCACAACGCAGAGAGCCGTCCAACAAGTATCCTCGGCCCAGGCCCGAGCGAGGGAGCGGGGCGGGCGGGCGAGCGGCGGGGAGCGCGGCCTGCGCGGCGGCAGGCCGGCGCTGCGGCAGGCGGCCGGGCCGGGCCGGGCCGCGCCTGCCCGGGGAGCCGCCACAGCGCGGCGGGCTGGGCCGCCCCCGCAGCGGGTGCCCGTGGCGCGCCTTTGAACCGCCGAGGCGGCCCGGGGACGCTCTGCTCCCCCTCCCACCCCGGTGGGGAGCCCGGGCACTTGTTGCGAGCCCGGAGATAAGGACCGGCTTTGTGCGGGATTTTTTTTTTTTTTTTTTTTCGGTCCTTTTTAAGCCCGGCCTGCGGCGCGGCTCCGCCGGTATCTGCCGCTTTCCCGGGCTCACCCACGCTGGGCCGCTGCCAGCGCCCAGCCCCGCCGCCGCGGCGGGGCGGGAGCGGAGCGCGGCCCTCGCCCCGCCGGGTCCCGCCGAGGGGCTGGGGGCGGCCCGCCGGGCGGTGCGGGGCACCCGGGGGCGAGCGGGGGCCTCCGGGGGGAGGTAATGCGGCGCTGGGATTCGAGGCGAAAGCCGTATCGCGGGGGGGGGGGGGGCGGGGAGTGCCCCTGGCGCAGCCGCTGCCTGCACGCCATCGTTGGCTTGCTGGCTCTGACACTGCGCATTTTGCTACGTTGTGGGGATGTTTTTGCTGGCGTAGAAGACTGAGCCTGGAACGCTGCTCGTAACACCCGTTAGAATTCACGGGAAGGGGGAGATCTACTGTCTGTGGCTCCTTGTGCTGCTTTGTAGTGCCTTTGGTATCGGCGTTGTGGATTGTTGGGTTTTTTTACACACACACCCCTCATCCCCCAAAGCCTCTCTTGATCGTAGAAATCAAATAGCCAGGCGTTAAGGAACGAAGATTGAGAGACTAAAATTTTAAATTAAGACTAATAGAAGCATAGGTCTTGAAAAATAAAATTCTCATCTACTGTCTACTGTTCCTTGAGCTAGCCATGTAAGTGCTTTAATATACCTTGAAGTCCTGAAATTCTACAAAGGCTATGAGTTTATCATATCAATCCCTTTTTATTTAAGGAATTTGCTTAAAAGTCTTCACAGAGGGCAACAAAACTTATTTAAGTAGGTAGGAACATAGATGTGTGTGTATGTGTACGTATATTTATGTTATTTTAAGAGTTTAGCTTGAAGACAAATTTGCTCTATTTCTAGGCTTTCATAACAGATGCGGTCAAGCTTAGGAAGGCTTCTGCTCTTACCTGAAAGGTGAAGGTAGTTTTCATCTCAGTCATCCTGTTCTTTCAACTATGTTTCAGATTTTCATGATGCTATCACTTCCTTTAAAAAATCCTAAATAGCAGTATCCGACCAAGCAAAATATAATGATAATGTCCCAGACTTAAACTGATGCTCTCTAGTATTTAACATACAAGAGTTTATAGTAACAGTGTTTATAGTGTAGCTTTAATGTAAAATTACATTTTAAAGCTCTTCTTCAAATAACAGCATCTGGTTTGTTTATTGAAAAATAATAGCATACATGTGAGATGAGCAATATAGGTGGTGCTTTCTTTCTTGAAAATAAGTAGAAATAGACTGAACAAAAGTGCTATTAACTGATGTTTGAAATTCTTTTTAAAATGCAGTGGTAACTCCCTGATGTGCTGAGATACCTGTGCTTTCAAGGCTATCCTCATATGTTAGCCTGTAAAGGTTAGAGAAATGGCACACTTTTTTACAATTGTATTATATGTCATTTTGGGAAAATGTTCTAAGACAACTTGACAGGCCATGTCCTCTAACTAAAAAAAAAAAAATGTTTAAGACTGTTTCCAGAAAAAAATTGTGATGGCTGCTGTATTGTAGAAATCTACTTAGTAGCACGTCCGTGCAGAGTGGTGATTAGTGGTTTCAAATTTTAAGTATTTTCAATGCATAGTTTTTTGTATGACTATTAGTGTACTGATTCTGTCATGCTCTTTCTTCATGACACTGCTTTGGCACACTTGGGTGCTTAAAACTGAAATATTAAAAAGTGGGGAGTATAGGTTAGCCAAAAATCCTTTGTTAACAAAGTTATGAATTGGTAAGGCTTCAGCTGTTTTTCACGTGAAAATACTAGATGTTTCTTGGAATAAAAAAAGAAAAAAGTGGGTAAAGAAGTTGATAAGAAAATATGGCCTATAATCTAGTCTTTGATTCCTAGACCAATTAAGTGTTTTCTCATTAAGTTTCTATTCAGTACCACTGTTCTAGTTCTTTCTGCTCACTTCTGCTGCTGCTTCCTGCTTGGTCTGTTGGAATTAACGGTTGCTAGTAATGTTCAACCAACTGTTTTGGTGATTATGTTGCTGAAACTTGGAGAAGAAGAAAATTTTGAAATATGCTACCCTCCTTCTTGGCTGTTCCTGAAAGAGATCTTTGGCTCGGCACTTTTGACAACAATCTTTGGATGTGTGGTTTTTCATTTATAGGGGCCGTGTAGAGGCCATTATACTGTGACCATCCTGTTTACATTTCATCTCTATCCCCACAGCAAAGGACCCTGCAGCTGTGATAAGTACACTTTACTTTCTTACTAATTGGAAAGAGGGCAGGCTCTTCTAGCAAAGTTACTATTTGATACAAACAGCCTAAATATCTAAAAATTAAGTTTCTTAAGCTTGTGATTGAGACACTGGCTGTTGGTCATTGAAAGGAAATGGATCCTTTAGAACTTTACTGGGCCATCAAGTCCAAGCATACATGTATTTGGCTAAGGTTTAGTGACTTTGAATGTTTGGACATTTAGCCAAACAGCAAGTAAAGTAAATGCCTGTGGAGCACATAATCTTGCTTCTAAAAATAATTTTTTATTTTGGCATACTGATGCTATTTAGTACGTCTAGTAACTTAGAGGTTACACTACACTGACTTAAAATAGGCTCTCATTTCTGAAAGCTCAGGATGTGACAAGTTAAAATCGTAAAGAAGTATATGTCTAGTATTAAAATGAGTAGCTTATTAAAATCATAATTGTTGCATTAGAATGCTGAAATGTTTTTATTTATTGTGGATGGGAAAAAAAGATGTATTACGGGATTGTGTCTCAGTGGATTCCATAGGTTTGGTGGGCTTCTCAGTGTAAATACTGAAATCTAAAACTAGAAGCTTTTTTTTTTTTTGGTGGCTTTGCAAATATTTTTAAGGATCTGTTAATTTCTGTGTCTGTCCCAGATTTTTTTTTTTTTTAAGATGTCCTCATAACTAAAAGCTATTGTTTCAGTAAGAAAGTTACAGAAACTGCTTTTAGATTGTTCATACTCTGTATAGGGTGTGCTTAGAGTCACAGCTGGTTGAATTGATGCAGCAATACATAACTCATAACTTTGTATCTAGAAAGCTATAAATACTGTGTGTGAAGATTAAACTTTCCTTAACAGTTTATCTCTTCAGAAACTAGAACAACTCAATCAGTATCCAGATTTCAACAACTACCTGATTTTTGTTCTTACGAAGTTGAAGTCTGAAGGTAAGTTCTTGAGATATTGTTTTATTCTCCTTTTTCTTTATTGTTGTTATTTTATTTAGCTTGAAAGAAATAGGAAACTGATATCTATAGCCAGTTTGCTGGTTGGTTGAGTTCCTTAGTCATGTAGAACTCAGTTATCCTCTCAGGAGTCTTTATGAAAAAAAAAAAAAATCTGATAATTTATTGGTGCTTGTAGTTTCAGCCTTGGAATAGATTCCATTCTAAATGCCCTATGAAATATTTCCAGAAATGTTGCAGCATCATACTTCTATCAGACTGAAGTGAAACTGTGGAATAACTTTGATAAATCATGACTATACATATTATAAAACACATTGCTAAATTCAGTTATGATAATGATCTCTCTAGTAATGAGACTTAAATATTTTGAAGATTACATACTAGAGTTGTCCCAAAATTATGTCTGTCAGAATCTTCATTCTGAAGTCTTATTTCTAGTAAAATGTAGTTAGAAATCAACTGGCTACCGTTGTCTTATTCTTATAGACATCAGTAGAAATGGCATATGTTATAGTGTGTAGCCTCTTCTAGTTGGTAAATTCAGACAATGATTGAGACGTATGAAAGATGGTCTTTCCAGTGTACTAGAGTAGATGATGAGCAATTGTATTGTGCATCACTTGTTTTGTATATTCTTAATACTATTTTCCCTTCATTTTCTGTCCTATTAAACTGTCTTTATCTCAACTCATGAGTTTTACTTTTTTTTTTTTTCACCAATTCTCTCCCACTGTGGAGGGGAGAGTGAGTGAGTGGCTGTGTGGTGTTTAATTGCTCGCTGAGGTTAAACCACAACAATCAGGTCTCTTGTGAGACTGCTGAGAAGCAGCTGTTGCTTCAGAGATGCTCTTGTCTTGTATCAGTGACATTTTCAGAGTCATAATCTTTTGTCCAAAGCAACTGTTTTGGTTTATTAACTTTGAATTTCTAGTTCAGGAAATTTGCAGAATATTGAGGGTGCCATAACAGTCTGGTGTTGGTGCTTTTCATTGTATTTGCCAGGTTCTAACTATCCTGTTACCTTGCTTGGGTAGGGCTAATGAGGGATGATGGGAGACTGTTGGTTGGATTTACTTCGAATCCAACCAGCAGCCCTCCATTGTCCCTCATTGATCCTGCCCAAGAAACGTAAAGAGTCCATTAGAACCACTCCTTCAGTAGCTACAAGATTCTTTCATCGTTTTTTGGACCAGTGATGGACTCATCAGGTAGATTACTGTTTTCAGTACAACTGGGAAAGTCTTACTTCCTTTCCCCTCCTGAAGAGACTTCTACTGGCAGGCTGTTCTACAGCCTTACCAAGTTTGTTGGCTTGGGGAAAGAACTAGAGTGCTTTATGCCACAGACCAAAGCGTACTGTTGAAAGTTTATGCTTTTGTTATGGCAATACCATTCCAGCAGAAGGAGCCATGAAAATAAGCTTCGAACATCACTGACAGATTATTCAATAAAAATTAATGTGTTTTGATAGTGTAGGAGAAAAAGAGCTTGGTTTGATAGAAGATGGGTCTAACCTTTGATTCAGTTTTTGCCATTGTTGAAACCACTGCTGAGAAGACTGTGCTTAAGGATACACTTAGATGACAGCTCCTGAATGTGAGAATTCTGTGCTGGCTGATTGCAATGTGTGTTAAATAGCCTCATTTTACTGCAGTGAATGTTGTACCAAATTATCTTTAGCCTGACTCTTATGCCTGTGCAGGCAAACGAACTTTTATTTGCAAGCAAATAGCTTTGCTTGAAAAGCTGGCTGTTTCAGTGAGGCCTGACTCTAAGATACTTGGGTAACCTTTATGTGCAGGGAATTTGCTTTCTTTTAGCACCAGAGGTGTTACTTTTCAGTTGCAAAAAGTATAACTTCTTTTTCCCTCCAGTGTTAGCTTCATCAGGCGTCTGTGTCTGAATGCTTGTGACTTGCTGTTTCTAGGTCTAATGTGGTGCTCCTAACATGGATGTAGTGGGGGGTTTTGTTTTGTTTTTAAATTATGTGGGCCTTGTTAAGCGGTCAAAGCTCGTTAAGCTTGGGTCTTTCTGAAAGGAGGTGCAGCCCTGCTACCATTTCATCAGTGAAGATATATGGCATGGCCTAGCTTGCAGCTATGGCATATACATGCCCTAGGTTTAAGCATTGCCTTTCTTTTTTTGTTTTTCTTTTAACTAGTGTGTATTTATAAAGATAGTGTTGTGAATCTAGATGAACCCCAATCTTACAAATATCACAGAACATAAAAAATGTTGAGGAAACAGCATTTAGTCCTGGAAGTCAGAGAGTAGGCAAGCTGATGGAATAAAATACAATCCTAAGCTGTTAATGATTGAGGTGTAGATCTCCAGAACGTACTTCCCAGGAGGCATGGTGCTCAGATCTTCTTTAGTTGGATGAGGTGGAGTCCAAATTAACTGAAAAATATCTCAATAAAAGAAGTTTGGGTTTACTAATTTATCTGTAAATGAAAATATTATTCAGGTGCTCTGTTAGTGTAAGCTGTTCCTTCTTGGTTTGGGAGGTATAAAACCTCACCGATAATGTAGTGGCACTGCCCTGCCTTTGTCTTGGTTTTGTGGATTTGGGGTTTTTTATCTGGTGTCCTCCAAGCTGAGCTCAGAATCCTGTAGACTTCTGTATTCTGGTACTCAGTAGTTTTCTGGAGTGTGTGCATGTTGCTGCTGTTTCTCAGATCACTTTCTGTATTTTATGTGCAGTTGACTGAAACAGTCCAGTGCTGCAGGTATCAGCTTTGCCTCTGCTGTTGCTTTCTTTGCTTACCTGCAGCTTCCCTTCTTCATTACAAATCATGCATCTAAATCCTCCTTTACTTCCTTGCATTTTTGCTTCCTTAGTCCAAGTCTGTTCCCTTGAAGGAAAATATCAGAAAATGTTGTCCTAATTTAAGCCTTCTTGCAGTCTTGCTGAGGCCTGCTCTATCCTCTAGTTAAGGTACATTGAGGCAGTTGTCCAGGACATCTGAAGCATAAGGCAGGTCAGAGGAAGGACCTTTTGTTGTCATAAAATGGGCAATTCGTACCATAAGTGGAAGTTCAGAGTTTGTTTTGGACCTTGTTGACCATAATGATGAAATTCCCAAAGTTGTGTGTATGAAAGCCTTTATTTGTTTATACCTTCTGTAAAGGAACATTTATAAGATCCCAATTTTTGCCATATCTAAAATAGACTGGCAAAACCAGCATCCATTTTAATTCATCTGTCTTGAACTTTTGTAGGACAACTTTGTCAATTCCCAGGTGTTTACTTACTATTTTTAAACTGCAATTACACCATGGTTTATTTCACACAGCATCCAGAGTTTAGTGAATGAGAGGTGGATATGGCTTGCACTGAGTTATCAAAAGATGATGTTTATTGTCATTCACCAAGAGTACTCTCTAATCTTCATAAATTCAATTTGTCACTTAGGGAACATTGGGTGGGATGGCTCTGTCATACTCTTGCCATAATATTATGTTGATGCAAGGTTGTATCTGCCTACTGTGAGATGACCAGGACTGCTTGTATCAGCAAAGATTACTGTGTTGCCGTCTTGTAACATTTCTGTGTTCAACTCTAAGGAGAAACTTCACTGAGACTTTGTAATCTCTGTAGGTATTCCTGCTATGTTTCTGCATGTATCTATTTTCACACCTCTGAGCAAAGAAAGGGAAGCTGTCTTTGTACCGGGTCAAAATTAACGTGACATTCTACTTGGCCTAATATGGTCTGCAAGTTCATGAATGTTTTAGATAAAAATTGCAATAACAAAAGTAGCATCAAAGCTTGCCACTTCTCAGGTAATATTTGACATACTTAATGCCACTTTATGTGGTGAAAAAAGAACATAACTACTGATACAATATCCATTCTAGTTAAGATTCAGACTGCCCATCCCCATTGCCAAAACACACATGTCCTTTCTCAGATCTACCTTCTATCCTTCTTATACAAGAGACTGAGAACATGACTAGTTTGTGTGCAGTTTATGTAAAGCTTTGCATTTGTCTCCCTATCACCTGTCTGTTGGGCTCTTGGCAGGACCCAGGCTAATGGGAAAATATGGAGACAAATGCATGATGATCCTGGTAGCTTTCTGCTGGGCTGTGCAGCTGTAATTATCTATCCTTTTGCAGCTATACAAAGACCTTATCATTCTGATCTTAGATTGTGTTTTAGTGACTGACTCTTCACCCCATCCTAACATGGGAACTCTAGTCTTTGGTCTCAACAGTGTGTTATCTCAGTGGATTGACCATGGCCTGGTGTAAAGCTATTGCAGTCAAGGATCAGAATCCTTGAGATGAACATTCAGTCTGAAGGTGAATGAGCTGGAATTGAGAACACTGCTTTAGTACCACCTTTGTTGCACACTTTAAGGATGATCTTTTTGATTAAAAGCTTCAGATATTTATAAAGCAGTTGCAGATAGAGCAGTGCCTGCAACTCTTGATTTTGTTCATGTGATGACTTAGTCATTCATAGTACCTTACTTTGACATAAAATATTACCATGGAGGAAGGTCCTGTCCTCATTTCCACCCCAACACCCTGAAGTTTTTGTTTCATCTGAAGTCTGCACAGATGGTAATTTTTATAAACTATTACTGGGATCCATGGTGGTCTTGTGGGTTTGATGTGAAAGTTTTCTGATGAGAATTGGAATTTAAACTTGATCTGGGCAGCAGTTTTCATAAGTCCATTCCATTGTGAACTTTCTTAGCATGTTGGTGTCGAAAGATCTTTGAAGCTGAGCAAAAGACCATTGTGTGAGGTCAGGTGCTAATTCACCAGCTACCAGCTTCATGAAGGTATCTGAGTAGGATTAATCCAGAAAAGTGGTTCAGCAGCTTTAACTGTTTAATTAAAAGATGCCCCCCTACCACTTCCTCACACACACACCCCCCATACCATCATCCTGTATGATGTCACTATTAAATACACTAAAATAACTGCCAAGGAGTGAATCTGACTGCATTACAGTTCAGAAGTCA